AGACCATGTTGAACACCTTGTCTTCCCCCTAGCTTTCTGATGTCACAATTAAGAAGTTGTGTCTGACAAGCATATTGACCAGAGGGTCAGTGTGTTTATGGCATTTCCAGACAGCACCACTCAAAGGTGGGGTGTAGAGCCTGCTGTCATAGAGGGGGAGAGACGTGCTAACCATTCTTAGGTTGATAATGGTGTGCCGAGGCATTCATGGCGCTTCATGTGTGTATACACAGTCAACGTGACAACAGTATGCTGAGAGAACGCCTCATATCCTGCTGACATCCAATCTCGACATCGACATTATCAGAAAGTTACAATGATAATTATACGCACCTCTGAGGTCAGAAAGATGTCATGTTATTATGGTTGAGACAATCCAACAACCACTTTCTTGGAAGCATATTAATCCCTTTACAATACAATGCAATTAACGGTGCTTTCAGATTCATTGTGTGGACAAAGAGGACTCTGAAGAAACACTGAAATGCTGCAATTTCATATTTGCTTTGCTCAGGTACGAACCATCTTGCACACTTTGTGAGAAACACATGAGAAAGTCGGACAAAGCTTTCTCAAAAGTGGGAATACATTTCCTTCTGTGCTAGTTAATAGAACAACTCCAAAGAACAATAGAAACTCAGTGAGAGGAAAGTGGTGGGTTCTTTGTTACAGAATACAGCTATAGGCTGAAAATGCACAGTATAATACTAAATTGAGCTCTGTGGTTTTCTTCCTCCATCCAATTGGACCAACCACCTTTCACCAAGACAGGAGATCTTCAAGCAAATTGCCAGTGTTACCATGGTTATTACAGGTAATTCCAGGTTATTAATGCCTAACATGCCAATCACATTGTGGCATGTCACCCCTTCATTATCCTACCCAGAGCATTCTCTCCCGCTCGCTGTTTCTACTTTTTATTATTGTCTCAATTCCTCACTCATTCCGACTGAATCACTCTTCTTTTTGTCTATCTGTGTCTTGTTATTCTGTGTATCCTCTAAAGCACTGTGATTTGAGCTTCTGTGATTGAAATTGGAGCTGGAGAATGATAGAGTTACTTCAATGACAGCAAACAGCAAAAAACTTTTTTCCCCTTACAGAAATTGGGGAAAAATAACACAAAGATTTACGGGTCTGTTCCATGAACCGGACTGAAGTAGACTTCATGCTGTCAGATACAAAGGAAGCTGCTAACATGCAGAATGTGATTATGCTAGATAGTTTTATTTACATGTTCTAGTGCAGGTGGGACATGTGCCAATATTTGGGGGGTAGTTGTAGTGCGAAGATATAGATTCTTGTTTTCAAAGACCGCGCCAGAGTCTCTCAAAGGTGGCTGATGCCTGCTGGATTCAGCTCTGCACTTGTTGTGTTCACAGAGAATACTCTCCAGATATGTGTGTGATGGAAGTACGGACACTTAATCACCAGTAACAGTGAACAGTGAAGGTGTGGGTGGGATGTTTCCGCTCCATTGGCAGATTAGTTGCGTTTTGATTGTGTTGACGGTGACGTCAAGCACTAACTGGAGATCTCGTGGACTGTGAGACACAAGAACACAGTTGTCTCCATACTGCAGGTTCTCATAGAGTTGAAACAGCTTTTTAACCACGGCCTATAAACACGACATTAACCAGCAGTCATTCGGAAACTGCTGTGGCACAGTCTGACACTTTGTAGATTTAAATGGCTTAATGTGAGCAGACTCTTAGAGTAGTGAAGGCTGCTAGGGTGCAATGAGTGACATGTCTTTACTGCGAGTACAGTGCACATTCTCTCGGATAAATCTGAAAGTCATTTCTACAAACCAAAGATCAACTTTAGGGGGCTTACACACCCACCTTCTTGGTCTGAACCTTTGGACTTTTCAGTTTAGTCCAAACCAAATTAACAGTTGCTAAAGGTGCCTCGGACCAACATACCAAAATTTTGTCAAACCAAAATAACTGGTCTCTGGATCAAACTGAACAATGGATCATTTGCAGTGTGGAAACATTTTTTTGGGGGGGGATCAATTGCAGGAAGTTGAGACAGCGATAAACAACAGAAGAAGAAATAGAAGTGGAAGCGGCTCACAGGTTTGCTTGTAGTTTTGCCAGGACATTCATTTTGCTGTTGATAATAACCATAATGATAATTCAAGGAAACTAACAAAGTGAACTGGTTCCTTTACATCCATTCAAATGGAAAGACTGCTCAATAAAGTTAGAGGTTTAAAGTTAGAGGTTTTTTTATTTGTCCCCTTTTGTGTATGAAGGATAAAAATCCTTCATACACAATTTGTGCAAAAGCAAAAAATTCAGAGGGCAAATGTGTATTTTGGTAATATACATATTAGCCACCGCTCTGACAGTGTTGTTTTTATTATCTTAGGCTAGTTTTATGACTTCTAACATTATCATACATTTCTCTAAAATAGAAAACACATCTACACTAAAATAGGCAAAACCATGTAAACCATGCTTTGAGGACAGCATGGTTCAAGTGTGCATGGAGGTGCAAATCACAAAACAGGAAGAGAAACACAACCTGGAGATGGTAACAAGCCATTTTCTCCCCACTTTGGGTTGCCTTGATAGAAACCAATCAGAAAGAGGCAGAATGGCCAATCAGAAACAGTAGCCTTGGAAATAGCCAATTAGGCCTTTTTGTCTGTGAGGATAAAGGAAGTGATATTGCAGAATGATTGCAGCAGTGCGCAGCTACACAAACATGCCCAAATGACACCTTGCTTGTTGCCTTCCAACCCTAATTTTCCAGGAGCGTGAGATCTTGATTGCATCGATGCTGGCAAGAGAGGACGTCTCATTATTACACCAAAACAATCGCCACCTCAGAGGCAAAAAAAGGGGTTTGTTTTCATTAGGGAGCTATGGAGTCACCAGCTCTTGAGTCAAGGCCAGGACTGCACACACACACACACACACACACACACACACACACACAAATGCACTGAGGCTGTAGTCTGGCAATTTTATACAAAAGATATGTACCTTACTTTGGTCCACTTAATGAAGCTGTAAATTTAGAGACATGAGAGCCTTTGCAGTGCTCCTCTGAGAGCTGCTACAATGATCCTGGGAATGAGCTGGTTAATTAACTGATTGTTTGCTTGGCTGGAAGCCACAGAGAGAGAGAGGAGATGTGGAGGGAGACAAGAAGGAGAGGAAAAGAGAGGACACGAGGGGAGAGGGCAGGAGAGAATGGGAATACTGAAGGGCAAAACGGAAAGAGGAACAGGGGGCAGAGCGAGAGGAAAGTACAAAAGAGAGAAAAGGGTGAAAAGAATAAAAGGGGAGGAAAGCAAAGCGGAATAAGAAAGAATGGTGGGAAAGAAGGACAGGAAAGGAGAATAGATGATGAGTATATAGAAGGATAAAAAAGGTAGAACGACCCTGATATGACTAAGACAAAGGCAAAAAACTATAAATTGTCGTAGTAGTAGTTCTTATGCAGAGGATGTATTCAGGATACTGTTTTAATCAATTGCTCTGTTGTTATACAGCTTGCAGCCACCGGTGGCAGCACTGAGCTTGGTGCTACTGGCAGGTCAGTGAATGAGTAAGAAAACCTTGTCTGTCCTAGAATCTTGATGCTAAAGCCCAGCAACATGTTTCAGTGGTGAGAAAGACAGAATCAGTAGGCGAGGGAAAAGACCAATCAGTAGTTTGACCACTCATGTGTGAGCAGGTTTACAGTCTTTGTGATTACAAAAAGAGGCAGAACGCATTGACTGAAATGTATAGGACATCCACTTTTTTAATTTATCAGCAGTTATATGCAGATATGCATCTACATAAAGTGCGACGGTTTGCGTTTTATGTAGAGAAATGTTTGACTTGTGTGAAACAGTGTACGGCTAAGAGAAGATGGAGTATCCTTTCTCCAGAGACTTCTTGATTAGAAATGCTTATTTTAGTATTTATAATGATTTATTGTTTAGTTGTATTAAATGTTAACATGTCCTCTCTGTCCTTTCTGCAAAAGATCTGTTGAATGGATGCATCTTTATTAGACTGGATCTCAGAGAGCTATTTGATAGCATGTGAGATGAGGTAAACCAGGCCCAACCTCAGACACACTTTTTTAAATTCAGCACAATGTGAGTAACAACTATATACATAGCTTGAGGCAATGATAGCCTGTTTTAGCTTTTGAATTAATTAGTTTTTAAGAAATCAATACAGGCTTTATTTTGTATTATCCCCTTCTTTTAATTTCTGGCAGACTTTGCACTAGATTAAAGTGCATTACTGACTCCTGTCGTCTTTGCAAATTGAAACTATGTACGTGTTTGCATATAAAGTGGGGAGGTGAGATCCCATCACAAGTGGTCACTCTAAACACATGTGGAGAAGTATTCCAATGCTAGGTGTGAACAAATGCACTAAGAGAGGTCCACTGTGATAATTTAAAGGTCCAGTGTGTAAGATTTAGGTGAAAGGGATCTACTGGCAGAAATTTAATGTAGAATAATTCTCATGATGTTTTCACTAGTTCATTTCATCTAAATTGTATGAGTTGTAGTTTTCTTTCCCCTAGAAAAAGCCCTTTATATTTAAATACTTTATATTTACATTGAGGAAGTCTCTACGGAGGCCGCCATGTTTTTTACATTAGTCCAGACTGAACAAACCAAACACCTATTGAGTTTTTATGACAATTAAAGGCTACCACAGGTTCTTTTTCATGTTTGGAAGGAGAGGGTGAGGTGAGGGGTGTTCAGCTGCAACATGCAACTTCAACACTAGATATCACTAAATTCTACACACTGTACCTCTAACACACTTTGAATTTGGCCAGTTAGGAACATGGCCGAAAACACCTAGATTGTCATTTCCTGTGAGGCTGGATCCACTGGCTCCTTTTAATCTATGGAACTGATCCAATGCCTTTCCTTAAGTCTGGCATAAAACATTTCAATTTACATATGTTCTAAAAATCACCCACTCACAATCACATGGACACACACTAGAAAGTGCAGATGGAAACACACATTCACGTTCCTTTCATTGCCTTAGTTTATTAACTGCAGTAGTTCTGAGGTCACTGTTGTAACTTGTACAGAGGTCAAGGGTCAGTCAGCAGTTAGAGCTTCCTGCTGGTTCTCTTCAGGACTACAGAACCAGCCTTGGAGGTCTGGAAGGAGACGAAACAGTAAGTCAATTATTAAAGATGGAAACATGTTGTTCCAGTGTCTTGCTTTACTTAAGCATGTCATCAAAAGAGACGTTTTTCTATGAGTTTGTGCCTAATTTGTCCTAATCTTCCAAATACTCAAATGTAATTTTTCTGAAAAGCCGGATTTGGAATGGAAACAGAAGGTTTTGCACAACAACAACTTTTGCACTATGCTACATTTGAGACAGTTTAAGCTAAAGGTGCTCCCCAGCTGCAGAAATACAACATTATAGTCTGTAATGTTCTCTGTAAGGTGCTGAGCAGAGCAACTGTCATCACACTAAAGGTTCTCTGCAGTGAAAGCATAAGAGCGTGTGTTTACCTCAACAAGCTTGCCCCCGCTGATCTCAGAGGTGTGGTGGTAGTTGGGGAAGGTCACACTCAGCTTGCCTCCGTCCATTTGCACAGTGGCCTGAAAACATACAGGTTACAATCAGTCAGGTAACCAGGGTATGTCCGTCCTCCTGTTGCTTTCTGCTGGGTTTATCATCACTGTCATGGTCTTGTTTCTCTGCCCTGCACATAAATCTGGATTCTTTCCCTCCTACCTTGAATTTCTTTCCTCCAATGGTCTCCATATCACACTCCTTGCCGATGGTGAACTTGTTGGTGACGGTGGCGTTTGTGGGGTAGATCTGGGACCAGGAGAAGTCATTGCCGTTCTGGGTGACATCTGTGATCAGCTTGTAGTCGCGGCCCTTCTCAATGACCTCATCGGGGATACCTAGGGCAGAAAGACAAGAGGAGCGTGAGGTTTGAAATAGCTCTGATTGGTCTAGAGAGTAAAACGCATGTGTTGTCAGATTCTGGTCTGCATTCTCACCGAGCAGCTTGCAGAACTCGTCGTATCCCTCCTGGGTCTCGGTTTCCCATCTTCCAGCGAAAGACATGTTGGTAGTTTTGGTGGGTGGAGGTGTGTGAGCCGAGATAATGAGACAAGCTGAGGGAAAGAGCAAGGTACTGGAACTGAGACTGCTCCTTGTTTATATACTGAACGCCACACGCCACCTCCCTCATCTGCATGTGGTGACACAAGAGGGTAATTACAGCCGAAGATGATGACTACATCATCTTTTGAGTGCTACGAGAGAGAGGGCAATAACCCACGTAAACGGGTGTTTATGGAGCGCCGAGGCAGTGAGTAAAAAGCTGACTGCTCATCACGGCGAGCTGGTACCTCACCTCTAGGTCGATGAACTCTCCTGCAATGGCTTTATGGTCACATCCTCCACTTTTACTGCTGCACAGTCTAAAATTAAATAAAGAGCTTTGTTTGAGAGTTAATCCCTCGATCTGACGTAGTTTGTTATCTTTAGAATTTGAACGGTCTCATCTGTAATGAGATCACCATGTACTTACTCAAGGTCTTTATTCTTAGACCTTGAATCTTTATTCATAGATAGATTAGCACTGATACGAGTTATTTTACAAGCTTTTTATAATTTACACATTTGTACACATAAATATTTTCATTGGATTTTGTTAATGGCTGCATTACAAGTTGAGCAACTGCCTCGAACCCGAGAACATCACGTACCCTGGGTGTCTAATTTAAATGATTGCACATTTGTTTGGGAGTTTTGCATCTAACAACACAAACAAATCTTCTATTCTAAATGTATTATAACACCATCCTGTGGACCTGCAGGTTGAAGGAACCTGTGACAAAAATAAAACCCTATTTAATGATACAAACTCATAATAAAGTTGTCTGTGTAAAGGATGGGGCAAAACCAACAATTTGTAATGCATTTGTCATAAATTTGATTTATTTAGCTGCAACAGCTTTTATAACTGCTACTATGTATTTTATTAGTTTTTGAGACATATTTAAGGCATGTTTGCTGTTTTTGGTCTTTACTTTCGCTGACCACAGCCTGGTGCAACTGACGCACAGAAACCCTGTGGCCAGGTGGTATCTTTGCATCTGCAACATCCTGTAGGTGTAATGATTGGTTTCTAAGTCTCCGGGCAAAATGTAATGAAGTTGCTATCTATAGGAAGCTGTGTGTATTGTACCTGTAGGCAACATGGAGACGTTAAAATACGTACACAATGCACAGTATACAAGACTTATGTGTGTGTGTGTGTGCACGCATTTTCCGGTCCTAATGAGGTTAAGGTTAAACATGAAACAGTCCTGGTTATGGTTCGTGATAAGATTTTGGGTAGGCTGTCCACAATAAATGGAAGTCAATGTAAATTCCTAATTAGGTCACATCATTTTTATAAGGCGCTAATGGCAAATGACATGGGCCTGAAGGTATCAGCATAATATTAGTGTTACATCGTAATAATGTGCATCCAGCTCATTTACATGAACACGACTGAACTCCACTTGTCAGCTGGTAGCTGAGCAGCATGAATGAAAACAGCTGCCAGTCAACTAATACAAGTTGATGGGCTCTCAAATATATTATTCGAGCCACAACTTGGGATTGGGTCAATGTACATGTACATGTTCTGCGACTGCATTCATTGCATATATGCTATTACAACCTGATGCATAATTTTATATTCAAGAACGTTTAAATTGGATAATGGGGGATAATTAATTGTTTTTATTCCTTTATCTTTTTTATCTATTGTTTTATTTGTTCATTTTACCCAATCTTTTACACATCCATGTCATTCTCTGGGGACTAATAAAATTGAATAACTGGTTTTCTTACCAGTGTTAAAATAGTATGTGAGTGAAGCTAAAGTAAATTTGACCTCATAAACCTAAATCTATATACCAAAACACACAATGAGGAGTAATATTTTGTCCTTTAGATAAAATAAATAATTTTGACTGTTGAATAAAATCAGGACTTCTCAAGTCTTCCGTTAAGACAAACACATTCCATTTCCACACAGTTAACAGAATTTCAGTGTAATGCTGAAAATTGTCCATTAAGGTGACTACACGACTGAAGCACCTCAGGCTTTCAATTCTGCCAAACTGTGAATAGATGAAAGCTTTTGATGCTGCACTTAACTTCGATCTGGCACAATGCAGCCATTTTCACAGACCACTGATAGTGTTTCTGCCCTGTGAAAAGTCACCATGGCCTTGAAGGTCTTTATAGATACATAAAACATCGTATTGGCCAACATCCTATAAAAGAGACCATTATCTCTCGCTCTTTACTGTCTCTGCTCACTCTCTCACACACACACACTCGCACATGGGGTCAGTGTGCTGAAGTGATGAAATGCAGTTTAAAAAAACCCTGTTTCATCAGATTTCACATGATCCGTACCTTTAGATTTTTTGTGCACAATCTGCGTGTGTGTTGTGCTGCACAACGTGATGTGTCACCAGGTTCAGTCAGTGCTTTGACTGCCTGACCTTCTAGAAAAGGGGCAGGGGCCTTTCAGCCTCTGGACCTTTCACAGAGACTATTTCATTTGACGCATGAGACAACTCATATAAGCAATAAAGCCATATTTATTAATTTTATTTTGTGCCAATCTTCACCACAATAGAAAACAATAACATAAAATACTAGAGTAGCAAGTCCTTCAGGGTCCTCCCTCCTGGCTGTGAGACGGTCAGGTCATGGTCAGGGTGAGGGAATCAACCGTGTCATCGCCGTCAAGCCTCATGGCAACTGTCAGAAAAAGAAAGACGGATGCATTATGTTGCTCACAGTGACAAAAAAGACAGATCTCAGCCTCATTACTGCTGCAACTAACCCAGATAAATGTAACACTCTTTATAGAGTTTGGGTGTTCAACAAGGCCACATTCTAAATGAAACAATGTTATGCAAATATGTTTTGTGAGTGAGCTCGAATCTAAGAAAGTTAACCATTTGAAGGACCCTTCTTTGCGGCTGTGGAGCTGCTAGAATCAAAATGTTCCAAAGTGTCAGTTTGTCTTAAAGAAGCATCACAGAGACGGTTGCTGATATGACAAAAGATACTAAAAGAGCACTGATGGACACTGCAAGGAATTTCCATTTTTTCTCTCTGGCTCGCAATGGAACAGTAGTGGTCTGGTCCATTTTGTTGGATTGATATGAGAAAGCAAATACTCTGTAAGGTTACGATTTGTCAGAGGAAATTCATCATCATCATCTCTACCATCTGACATCATAGCCTCGCTAAAGAGAAGCAGTTGTGGCCGACTGGTAGAGGGTGTGAAGTAGGCAGTGGCAAGTTAAGGATAAATGTATTCAAGTAAAGTATTTTAGTAGAATGTTGAGGTTCTTTGGAGGTACAATATAATGTCCATTTTCTTCTGCTTTCTACATCTTCTAGAGGCAAATATTCTACTTTTCACTCAACTACATTCATACTATTATTACTACAAAATACAATCAACTAATAAATGTTTTAATATTGAAGATTGAGAGTGATTAAAAATGAATATATAGCAGCAGTATAGCAGTGTAGAAAGTAGTTAAAGTAGGTCTACATGATCTGATCTACATGAATGTATCAATAATACTACATAATTCTGAATTGGGTCATTATGCATAATGTAGCTATTGGTGCCTCAAGTGTGTAATTAGTTGCTAACACTGCATTCATGTATGAATACTCCTGAATACTACACTGTAGGTGAAGTGGCTGAATCAATACCATCATTCATACCCAGAATTTCTTTCAGTTATTGTAGTGATTCAAATCATTTTGCTAAATACCAATGAATCACTTGTATTTCAACCAGATCGTAAAAAAAAGGAATGCTTGAATTTTGCTATTTTTTACTGTATGCAGTCACAACATAGCTAGGACATGACTCTTCCCTGCATTAGCATCAATATCTGTGATAGTGTACTGTCTGATAATGTGGGTAAAACTCCCATGATATAACTGGTGTGAAGATAACACACAGGTAATGAAAATATATATTAGTTCACGTTGTAATGGGCATTTTTTAACTGCACAGGGTTTTCCATTAGTGCAAACTGATACACTTTATCCAACCAAGCTGCACAGCTGCAGTCCTCCAACACTGACCTGTAAACTGTGTTGGATACTACACTCACTTCTCGTGTAATAAAATCTCTCTTGGTTCAGCTCTCAGTGCTGTGCAGCTTCTACCTGGTTCTCTGTGGTTTCAGATTTAATTTAATCTCCTGTTTGTGTCTCCAAACATCTCCTGTGAGGGCTGCTTCACATCCACAGCTGTCCACGGGCCTCACGGGGTGAAGCTTTCATTAAAAACAAGGTTTCTCACTGAGTTAGGGAAACTTCCTTATAGCTTCAGGTCATTGAGTTTACTTTAAAGTTGAGCTAGAATTTGTATACTGATTCTCCTAAAATCTGTTTGTACCACTTTTAATAAATGACTAATAAATGACATCTGTTAGACTGGACATGGAAGGGGGTGTTGTCTTTATATAGTGATCATCACCACCTGCAGGACAAGGCATCCGTATTTTCTGCATGCAGCTTATTTCATGTATGTAATTTCTGTATAAACATGGATTCCACATGTATAGATATAAATCTCAGTGGTGTGTTGACAGTCATGCCAGTGTTTATGGAGTTGTGTAGCATTTTGGTTCCTGGCTGAAGAATAATGACTTGCAGTATATCTACTGAAATTAATATTAAAGTGTTATGTGTAATATGCTGAAATGTGAATTATAATTCTCTCTAAATTCATTTTTCTCTGCTCATGTCAAAGTTCTTCCAAACAGAAACACTCTCGGCAGTTAAACGTGTGCAAAGTACAATTTTTTTACAGTTTATTGTCGCGTTGTGACCTTGTGGTTACACCTTAATAGTAAACTGCACTTTCATCATTTGGTGAAACATTTCCTTTTTTTCTCTAATCCCTGAAAGTGTGAATCATCGTAGATAATAAGTAACTGACTTTATTGACCATAACCTCATGTCAATAAACACTTTTGCCTCTGCTCTTGTTTTATGATCCTCAGATGTACGCCACAGTGGTCTCAGACTTTTGGAGAGCGAATCGAAGACAACTCAGCAGAACTGATGAGGAATACGAGAAAAAAACAAAGATATGAACAAATGAACAAGACGGAAAGGGCGA